ACCTAGAATATGATCTATCCTGGAAAATATAACCATGCATGCTTGAAAAGAATGTATATTCTGATCTTGGGTAGATAGATGACTGTTAGGTCTATCTGGCTTTTGTGTTGCTCAAATCTTCTATTTTCTTGTTGGTATTCTATTTGTCCTATCTATTATTGAAAGTGAGATATTGAGTCTTCACTTGTTATTCTTGAATTTTCTGCTTGTCCCTTCAATTGTGTCAGTTTTTGTGCATCATGTATTTTGGAGTATGTCATTAGGTGCATATATGTTTATAACTGATACATTCTTAATGGATGCCCTTTTTAACATTATAAACTTTCCCTTTTTATCTTTAGTAACATTTTTTGGTTTAAAGTATACTTTGTCTAATAATAACATAGTTACTCCAGTTCTCTTATGGTTGCTGTTAATGATATATCTTTTCCTATCCTTTTACTTTCAACTTATTTGTATCTTTGTATCTAAAGTATGTCTCTGACCGTGTATAGGGGTGTGTGTGTAGTCATTCTGATAATCGCTGCTTTTTTATTGGATTGTTTAATCCATTAACATTTAATGTTATTGTTGATATAGAATATATCTGGCATTTTAATTTTATTTTCTTTCTGTCTTATGCCTTTTCTGTTCCTCTGTACCTCCTTAACTGCTTTCCTTTGCATTATGTGAATCTTCTATAGTGTACTATTTCAATTCTTTTATTTTTTTCACTATGCTTTTGCAATTATTTTCTTGGTGGATGTTTTAGTACTTACAATATATATATATCTAAACTTGTCAGAAGTCACTTCAGATTTTATGCTAACTTAATTCCAATGGGAATATAGGTCTATTTCTTATTCCTTTTATTATTATTGTTCACATTACATGTATATATGTTACAAACTATAGATTATTATAATTATTTCTTTATATAATTTTTATAATTATTTTATATAATCTTATGTTTCATAAGCTGAGAAGGAAAACAGGAAAGCAACTATATATTGAAGCGTTTGTTGTTAACCTTCTTACTTATCATTTCTGGTTCTCTTCATTTGTTCCTTTGCACTTAACCATAGCCAGAATGTCGAGAAGTGATCATTTGTTCCTGTGGATTCAAGTTGCCATCTGGTGTCTTTGTCTTATTCCAATATAGTTTTGCTATCTGCCTTCCTCCTTTGTTATTTTATTGTCAAATATATTACATTCCTATAAGTCCAATAATATAATTATATATGTGTTGTTTTTATACAGTAGTTATTTAAATCAGTTAATAGTAGAAAGGGGATAAATATGCAGTCACGCCATCTTTTTAGTATGTGTGTGGATGCAAATTACTGTTTGAAGTCCCTTGCTTCCAGCCTGAAAAACTTCTGTTATTATTGCTTGAAGGTGGGTCTGCTTGCAATAAATTCTCTCACTTTGTGTTTATCTAGGAATGTCTTTATGAGATACTTTTGCTGAATATAAGATCTTCATTGATGGTATATTGCTTTCAGCACTTTGAATATATCTTCTTACTGCCTTCTAATTCTGCTGTTTTTGTTGAGAAATCAGCTGTTAGTTATTGGTTTCTCTCAAAATGTTTGTTTTTCTCGTTCTACTTGAAAGATTCTATTTGTCTTTCAACATTTTTGCTATGATGTGTCTGAGTGTGGATCTTTCGCATTCATTTTACTTGAAGTTCACTGAGCTTCTTAGATGAGTAGATTAATGTTTTTTTTGAAACTGGGATTCTCAGCCATTGTTTCTTCAAATTTTTTTTGTTCCTTTTTCTTTTCTTTTTTTTTTTTTTTGGTACTCTCACTATGCATATATTGGTGTGCTTAATGATGTATCACATTTCTCTGAGTCCCTGTTTATTTTTCTTTATTCTTTTTCTGTCTGGTTTTCAGATGGCATATCTCTATAGATGTATCTTTAAGTTCACTGATTCCCTGTTCAGGAAGCCCAAACTTACTATTCGACCTTCCAGTGAATTTTAATTTGGTTATTGTACTTCCCCAACTCTGAATTTCTATTTTGTTCCTTTCACAAAAAATACTTTTTACCACTATGTAAGTATTCTCTGGCTCATAAGCAGTCATCATCATCCATATGACCCAGCCATCCCATTACTGGTATATACCAAAGGATTATAAATTATGCTGCTATAAAGACACATGCACACGTATGTTTATGCGGCACTTATCACAATAGCAAAGACTTGGAATCAACCCAAATGGCCATCAGTGACAGACTGGATTAGAAAATGTGGCACATATACACCATGGAATACTATGCAGCCATAAAAAGGATGAATTTGTGTCCTTTGTAGGGACATGGATGCAGCTGGAAACCATCATTCTTAGGCAAACTATCACAAAGAACAGAAAACCAAACACCGCATGTTCTCACTCATAGGTGGGAACTGAACAATGAGATCACTTGGACTCGGGAAGGGGGACATCACACACCGGGGCCTATCATGGTGGGGGAGGGGGGGGGATTGCATTGGGAGTTATACCTGATGTAAATGACGAAGTTGATGGGTGCTGACGAGTTGATGGTGCCATGCACCACCAACATGGCACAAGTATACATATGTAACAAACCTGCACGTTATGCCACATGTAGCCCTAGAACTTAAAGTATAATTATAATAAAAAAATATATCATATATATAAAAAGAGTCATCATCATATCTTTTTTACTTCCCTAAGCATGGCTTTTTTCTTTGAGCATACTTAAAACAGCTATTTTGAAATTTTTGTCCATGAATCCAACATCTAAGTCTTAGAAAAGGCCTTGCCATTACCCAATTTATTTCTCTGTGTGAATCAGCCACTTTCCTGTTTTGGGCATACTTATAATTTTTTGTTTTAAACTAGCATTTTGATAACATATTGTATTAGCTTTCTATGACTGCCTTATGGGTTGAATGTGTTTCTCAAAATTCAACACGAAATCCTAACCCCTCCCAGTACCTCAGAATGTGACCTTTATTTGAAAATAGGGCCATTGCAGATGCAATTAGTTAAGATGAAGTCATTAGAATGGACCTAACTGTGATGGTTAATGTTAGGTGTTATCTTGATTGACTGAAGGATGCCTAGATAACTGGTAAAGCATTGTTTCTGGGTGTGTCTGTGAGGGTGTTGCCAGAGGAGATTGACATTATAGTCAATGAACTGGGAGAGGAAGATCCACATCCCTTTGCGGGTGGGCACCATCCAACAGGGCTGCGCAGCTAGAACAAAGCAGGCGAAAGAAGGTGGGATAACCTTGCTTGCTGAGGCTTCTGGCTGGCCTACTTTTTCCCATACTGGAGGCTTCCTTCTGCTTTCCTGTCCTTGTGTTTCTGGACCAAACTGAGATTTGGGCTGCTATTTTTTACGGCCGTCAAATATACGAGGATGCCAGATGATGGAGAAATAGAGCTTTTATTTCTGTAGTCAGTTACAGGGACATGGCCTGGAAATTATTGCCAGACCAACTCAAAATTACAAAGTTTTTTCAGAGTTTTATATATCTTCTAAGCTAGATGTCTATGTGTAAGTGTGCCTTCATTTAAAGACATCATAAGTGATTAACTTCTTTTAATCTATAACAAAGGTCTGAGTCTTGAAGACCTTATATGTGTAAGTGTGCCTTCATTTAAAGACATCATAAGTGATTAACTTCTTTTAATCTGTAACAAAGGTCTGAGTCCTGAAGACCTTCTTTTAGAGCCTTAGTAAGTTTACTTAATCTAAATGGGTTTAGGTGTTGGGGTGATTACCCTTATCTGGTCTTCTGCCTAAATCACAGAGGTTTGGGGAGTTCCTTCAGACCTCCAATAAACTTGTTTGTGGAGGCCTGGGGAGTTTCTTCAGACTCCCAGTAAAACTTGTTTAATCCTAAAGTGGTCCTGTTGAGAATTACTCCGTTATTTTGTCATGCTTTAAGGCCCAGGAAAGGCCTAGGCAAAACTCTTGGTGGGTTTTTGCTGCATTCCAGCCT